GTGGAGACTACACGGCACAGAAACTCAAATTTTGTTGAGGGCCAATCTTTGCTCCAAATTTCCAAGTTTTAGATCAGTGAGCACTAACCAATTACATTTCTTTGTGTTCGTGAAACAAAAATCTCTGTTTTCCTGGGGTGACTTGTGGAAATGAATCAGTTTTCTGACTCCAAAAGATTCAGAGGATAAAGTAAGAAGCAAAGCAACAAACAACATTCAAGGTAGGCTCATTTGCTGTCTCTATGGGGGTTATAATTTGGAATATTTTTCAAAAGGAAGCGCTTATTTTTTTTTTATACTAGATACCCCCAGTAGAGAGGATATACTTTATCTTCTGTGGTGTTTATAGGACGCCACAATGATACCTTGGTTTTGAAATAGATATAGTAGCAGATGGGAGATTCGGGAATCAAACCGCAAACACTTATTAACTCTGCTGAGCCCCCCACCCTATAAGGTGCAGCAGTGGGTATGACACACTGTAAAAGCCTTCAAAAGGTTCTATTCTCTTTTGTTGGAGAGACCAGACAGATGTATGTGAAATAGCTAGAGAATAATTAACCCTTGGTGACAAGTGCTGGAGCTGTGATCTCTAGTCACCAAGGCATATCTTGCAAAGGCTCTTTCCCTGGCCACCCACTTTGGCTGACACCTGCAGCGTCCTCTCCTCTCCAGGACCTCTAAGGTCTGCACAGGCTGTCTGGGCAGAAGTTACACCTGAGGAAGATGGAACACTGAAGTCAGACCACACTACTGTTCACAGTTACTGTTATTTTTTTGGATCTTACTCTTCAGTTTTGGTTTGCCTTCTGTTATAAACGTGATTTTTCTTCTCTCTCCATGTTCTCCCTCCATTCTGGAAGTGGACTTTGGGTAAGTACAGGGGGAGCAGTCCATGGATGAGATGAGCAATGGAGCAAGTATTGGATGGGAATTCATGGAGCTTCCCAGGCTCTGCACCAACCAGCTGTGTGATTCTGGGCCCAGATTCTCTTCTAAAAGAGGAGGAGTTCATGAACTTCCTTCCAAATCTAACAGTTTATTTACTCAGTAAGGGAAACTAGCAAGGAGAAGCCCTGTATCTGACCCCTCTGGTGGTAGAATATCTTTGGAGAAAATGTAGGAGAAAAGGAGTGCTGGAAAAGAGCAGGGCAGTCAGATCTCCTCGTCCTCCTCCTCGTCCTCCTCCTCCTCCTTCTTCTTCTTCTTCTCCTCCTCCTCCTCTCTCCCTCTCCTCCTCCTCCTTTTTTTTTTTTTTAGAAATATGTTTTATTCGGTGGACTTACTGAGGACTTAAGCCTGGGATACAGCCCCTCAGATAACTCTGAGGCACAGTTCAGACCAGTCTTATTTTTCAGAACTCCCAGGACGTGGAGTTCTATGATAAGACAGGTATAATGAGAAACCACAGGTAAGCATCAGATTGAATTTTCACAGAAGTTGTTTACTGGGGCCAACCTGTCTTTAGCTTCTATGTTCATCCTTGTTTGGGTTTTCTTGCCACAGACCTTAGGAATGTGCAGTTACTTACTGCCTCATAAGAGCACATACTTATTTTTCAGAATCTCTTCCTTGGTCCTGCCAATTAAAAAGTCAGAATTAAAGTTACCCCACAGGTAAAATGCCAGTGCCACTGTCAATAGCTTACAGGTCTGATGACCTTTTTATGAAATCCTTTCTCAAATATTTTCCATTTCTACTCAGAGTTTTTTTTAAGTTTATTTATTTTTTAATTTTAATTAATTTATTTTTCATTTTGGGGTGGGTAGGTTAATTAGGTTTACTTATTTATTTACGTTTAGAAGGGGTACTGGGGATTGAACCCAGGACCTCATGCATGCTAAGCACGCGCTCTACCACTGAGCTACACTCTCCCCCCACTCAGAGTTTTGATAGATGTTAATTTCCCTTTCTTTCCTCCATTCTAAAGACTTTAAAAATTCAACTTTTTAGTGAAATTTGATTATACCAAATATATATCTTTCTCTGTTAGCATTCAACAACTTGGAAAGAAAAATACAACTAATTTTTTTAAAATATGAAAGCTAAAGTGGTCCTTACAAATCTTCTGAGACACCCTCTCTCACTGACACCCCAAATCAGAAGCAATTACAGAATCAAGAAGCACTTACTTTCAAAGCTAAATTTCACAGAGATTATTTGTGAAATTAATTTTTTGTGAAAAATATTTCTATTTCTAATACAGCCATCTTTGCTTTGAGGTGAAACATGCCCACTTATAACTTCTGCTCTTTGCCTAACCATCCTGTGTGTGAAATACTGGCACATGGCCGGAGAATCAGCTGGATACATAGAGGAGCCTGATGGGGAGGTAAGGAAAGGGCACAGTAATGAGAGTATAGTCTTATGTCTATCTTATACATTAGGAAACTGAGGCTCAGAGAGGTTTAGTCCTTGCCCTAGGCCACACAGCTCATATTTGAACCAAGATCTGTATTTTCTAAAACGTAGGTTCTTCTACTATCTCTCTTACTTCTGAAGTGTGCCTATATTGAATGCATAACAAGGGTGTCATATCCATCTTGCTTTATACCATAATGTGGAGTGGACTTTCTACAGCAAGTGCTAGAATTTCTCAAACTCAGTTATTCTGCAGCCTTTGAAACGAACCAGGCTCCCTAATAAGCATAAAAAAGAAGCTAAAAAAGGGGAGAGGTGGGGGAAAGGACAAAGTTGCCAAACTTCAACCATTATTCTTGGAGGTGCGCATGGAGAAAGGGAAATGTGAGTCATTTGAGTTTATCTATCTATAAATCTCTATCTATCTATCTATCTATCTATCTATCTATCTATCTATCTAATTGTGATAGAATACAAATAACATAAAATGTACCACTTTAACTGTTTTTACGTGTACAATTCAGTATATTAAAGAACATTCACATTGCTGTGCAACCATCACCACCATCCATCTCAAGAGCTCCTTTTGTTGTTGCAAACTGAAATTCTGTACCTGCATCCATTAAACACTAACTCCACTTTCCCCCTCCTCCCAGCCTCTGGTAAACACCCTTCTACTTTCCGCCTCTGTGAATTTTCCTACTCTGTGGACATCGTACAAGTGGGCTCATGCGGTATTTTTCTTTGCGTGACTGGCTTAGCACATCACACAGCGTATTCGGCCCTGTGTTGTTACATAGCCCACTATTCCATAAGCTAGTTGTGAGATGCTTAAATCAGAATCCCAGGATGTTGCACATCTATACAAACAAACGTGGGTGTCACAGCTGCCTCTGAAGCAGGAGCACCTTAATGAGTCCCCATCACATTCTGCACTAACAGGGTGATAAGGTGGAGTAAAAGCTTAAGTCAGTTATTCTCTGATACTCTTATCAGTTATCCTGTTATACACTTATTATTTGTTTTAAAACTTGTGAGCTCATTCAGTTCTCACAACAGCACCACGGAAAAGGTATTTTTATTTCTGTTTTTCAGATGAAAATTACAGGTATGGAGGAAAATGATAGACTTGTTAATGTCACACAGCTATTAAACAGTTGTGTTGAAGCCATGTCTCCTGACCTCAAACCCGGTGTCCCTGTCACCAGGTTGACGGGCGCAGGCTGGCCTGGACTGCAAGCCGGCTGTGAGGTGTATGAATATCAACTTAGCGGACCCTCCGCTCTGCTGGGAGGCCTTGTTGCACCCCGAGGGAGTGACAACTTCAGAACTGTGGTTGTGGATTTTCTGTGCCTGATTACCCTTCATTAGTCCTCAGAGCCCCCTGAAGACCGACTCACATCTCCTCCTCTCCGTATCCACCCCCAAGGACAGTGGTTGAAGCTTGATGACTGTCAGAGTCTTTTCAGCCAGAGTCTCTCTCATGCCTGTTAGGAAGCTAGGCTAGTTTCAATAATTGTAGAATAACTAAGGTTGAAAAACTCTAGCAGTCACAGCAGAAATTTTGTTCCACATTATGGTGTGAGGCAAGACTGATCTAAACTCTTATCATGCAGCCAAATACAAGTGCACACTTCAGGGCTAGGCTATGTAATAGGAACATCTACATTTTGAAAGATACAGACTTCAGTTAAAAAATGAGCTGTGTGGCCTTGAATTAGTGACTAGCTCTCTCTGAGTTTCAATTTTTATGTATAAAATTTCCTCTTATTTTATCATAAGGATTCGTCAGCTATTGCATGTGCCTGAATCAGGGAAAACGCTTCAAGGAAGCATTATTACAAACTGAGATGCTATTTTGGGAATAATATCAAGCATCTGATGAGCTTTGTTTTGTCTATTTGTCTCAAGGAGAGTATTTTTTAAGTGTGGGGGGATAATTTTAGGTTTATTTGTTTGTTTTTTTAAACAGCAGTACTGGGAATTGAACCCAGGACCTTGTGCATGCTAGACATGCGCTTTACCACTAAGCTAAATCCTCCTCCCTAATGAGGACATGTTTGGAGACACTCAAGGTACAGAGGGGACTCAAGAGGGAGTAGAATGACAATTGTCCTCAAGACCTGAAAGGGATGTTTCTCATTATTGAGGTGACCTCTTTGATTTCTGTGATTGCAGGTCTCAGCTCCAGCGCCTTAAAACATGGCTGCTACAAGCAATGTGACTGAAATCATATTCTTGGGATTTTCCCAGAACCGGGATGTGCAGAAGTTAATTTCTGTGGTGTTTCTCCTCATGTACACGGCCATTGTGCTGGGTAACGGCCTCATTGTGGTGACCATCATGGCCAGCAGGGGGCTCACCTCCCCCATGTATTTCTTCCTTGGCTATTTATCCTTTGTGGAGATCTGTTACTGTTCTGTCACGGTCCCCAGACTCATCCTTGATTCTTTTTTGGGGAGGAAAGTCATTTCCCTCAAGGGCTGCATCACACAGATATTTTTCCTCCATTTCTTTGGTGGCACCGAGATCTTTCTCCTGACGGTGATGGCCTACGACCGCTACGTGGCCATCTGCAAGCCCCTGCGCTACACCGTCATCATGAGCCCGCGCGTGTGTAGCCTCCTGGTGGGGGTGGCATGGGGTGGGGGCTTGCTGCATTCTGCCGGGCAAACCTTCCTCATTTTCCAGCTGCCCTTCTGTGGCCCCCAGGTCCTCGACCACTACTTCTGTGACGTCCACCCGGTGCTGAAGCTGGCCTGCTCGGACACTTTCCTCATCGGCATACTCGTCATCACCAATGGCGGGTCCATCTCCGTGGCCAGCTTCACCGGGCTGCTCGCTTCCTACGTGGTCATCTTGCAGTCCCTGAGGACCCAGACCTCAGAAGGCCGGCGCAAGGCCCTCTCCACCTGCACCGCTCACGTTGCAGTGGTGGCCCTGTTCTTCATCCCCTGTTCCTTTGTCTACATGAGGCCCTGTGTCACCCTCCCTGCAGACAAAGTAGTCGCCGTGTTCTACACGGTGGTCACACCTCTCTTAAACCCCGTCATTTACTCCTTCAGGAATGCTGAAGTCAAAAACGCCATGAGGAGACTGATGGGGAGGAAAGTGATTTGGGACAAGAAATAGATGATTTAGTCAGGGAAAACAGGAGGGGCAAGGGACGGGGCACTGTGGCACCGAGATCTCACGCTGCCTCTACCTTTAAGTGGCCAGGTGGCCTTGGGCCAATCACCTTCCTTCTTTAAGTTTCAGTTCCCTCGTCTTTATGGGATTGGATAGGACTGATGGGGTCTCTAGGATAAAGTCTAGGAGGGGGTCCTCTGGTGCTGCACTTCCACATTCCTCAAGTGACCTTGAGGCAGACTGGCTGCTTTCGAGAGAACAAACGCTCCAGAAAACCAGGCGCTCTCTGGGAATAATGAAGAGGTCGGTGGGAGAGGACAAGGACCTGCTTCGGGGAACAGTGTCTGAGCACCCTTTGTGTTTGAAGAGCCTGACCTTTGGATTTGGGGAGGTGAAAGGTTAGGAAGGAAGTAGGTGTCACGCCAATGCTTAGAAATTCTATGGAGCCGACATAGGAGGATTTGTCCAGTGGGTTCTGGGCAGGCCAAGCTGACCTTAGCAGGATTTGGTCCTCAGAACAGGAAGTATTTTGGCTTTTGACAGAGATTCCCATGAACTCATGCCATCATTATATTCAGGTGTTCAAGGAATCAGATGGAACCACAAGGAGACTTTAAGTGATTTGAAAGCACTAGTCAATGATATCTACTCAGGCACAAGTTTTATTTTCCATGTATCCTTACTTTTTGATGATTAAAATTCTCTTCTGTTCATACCTGTCTGTCTTTTTAATTCTCATGTTCCCCTTCCTTATGCTTTTGTTTGGCCCATTAATTTTCTCTGTCTTCAGCCTCTTACCTTCTTGAGTTTCTCAGCCATTCCAACAACACACCCCGATCACCTGCCCTCTTACACAGCCACAGGGCCTTGTCGCTCTCCAGCCGTGAGCACCCCACTCCCTTCTGTGCCTCATTCTGGGGCTGCCTGGTGATTACAGTATGGACTTAACTGCCCTTGGGTCCTCCCTGCTTGTCCTATGATACTTCAATCATTTTTTTGAGTCCTACTGTATGTAACCATCACCCCACTTTAGAAGAATATACCACTCCTCCTCAAAAGTCTTCAGTGACTCCCTAATTGCCTTCTGAATCAACCACAAACTCCTACTTGACTCGTAACACCCTTAAGGCATGACCCACTCTTAATGTTCTATTTTGATGTTCAATTACACTCTGGTAAAGCTCATTGTTTTCTGAACATCCCCTAGCGCCTGCCATCTAAAATATTTTCCCATCTCTACTGGTCAACGTCTGGCCTACCTTCCAATGCCCACCTGAAATGCTGCTGCCTTTAGGAAGCGTCCATGTTCATCCTATCTGGATAAGTCCTTTTCCTTGTTTGAACTCCCAAAGCACTCAGTAGGGATCCCGTAAGGCCTTTACTAGCTTTATTTCAGTGTTCATTTTCTTCCATTAGAATGCCACTCTTGAGAATATGGCCTGAATCATATTTATCTTTGTATCTTGCTTTAAGTGACATACAGTAAAACTTAATAAATATTTGGTCAATTAAATTTCTGGAAATCATTGGTGCTTCACACCGTAAATGAATAATAGTTATTGCAGCTTTATTTTTGTCTCAATTTTCTAAATAATACACTGATATCACATCACTTAAGACAAATCAGTAATCACTCCTTACATTGTTTCTGAGAATAATGTTTATATACAAAGAAGCAACATGTATGTGTGCGTGTATTTTACAATGAACCAAGAGATTTCACATATTTTATCTCATTTGACCCTAAAACACTCTGGTGAGATGGGTATGCATCCTCTCTTTTGCAGACGAAGAGATTGAATCTTTGGTAGGTCAATGTCTTGATCAAGGTCGTAGAGTTAGTAACCCACAAAGCCTGAGTTCAAACCCATTTGCCTGATTTCTAAGCTCCTGCTCTCTCTGTGTATTCCTCTGCTTTTCTTAAAGGTCACCAGGACATAAACACATCTAAGTCTCTGAATTCCAAATCTGAGGCCTGATAAATTTTTTTTAATTGTCAGATTTTCTCCCCTGGAATCACTTCAGAGTAAATAAAAGGTATTTTAAAAAATGTAGCATGAACTGCCTTCATGCTGTATAGGTTCACATTGTATTCTTGGGTCCACAGAAAACCGGGACCTGAGACCCAGATCTGGAAGTGGAGGGCAGGAAAGCAGGAAGGTATGGTGCTTCTGTCTGCTCAGGCCCCTCTTCTCATGGAGCCAAAACCTGGGCGTTGAGCTGGGAGAGTTACCTAATCCATGGGGTCAAAACCCAATGCGTTCGCCAAGAAGAGATTTTTTTCCTACTGACATCATGCTGAAAATGACACAATTCTTAAGAATATTACACAGATCAGAAAATAAGAATCAGAAAACTGAACTGAGCATCCTCCACTAAATTTCCTAAAGTTAAATCTCAGGAGATCACTGCCCTATTGGCGGAACAATGCTCACTTTGCAGCTGAGGAAACTGAAGGTCAAAGACGCTTCCAAAGCCCTTGATGTTTTTTCTGTACCAGCTGTTTATGAGCCAGGATTGAGAGTCCAGGATTCTTCAGGTACTACAGGGGTTGGTGCAGGAGCAGAGCAGGAGAGGATACGAGGCAGCTGAACAGGTGTGTGTGGGACTTCAATCAAAACAACTGATTATCTCTTTTAAAAAATATGCTTTATATAAGTTTATATTGATACAAGTATTAAAATCCTAAAAAAATTTAAAAACCACTATCATATACTATGCTTACACTTCTTTCTTGCTTGGTTGTAGCCAGGTCTCCTGTGGCTTGGTTATGGATTGGAAAACTTTAGGAAATGACCTCCATTCTGAACAGGTTAAGCGGAGGCAAGTCTTTGGCTAAAGTTCAAGTCCAGAGTATCAGGGCAGGAACTTCATCAATGAGAGTGAAGGCATGCCTCAGAAAATGTAGCATGTCCAATTGGGGGGGACTCTCTTGAACATGAAATGTTGACTCAGCCTGGTTTGAAATTGCCTCACTTTTTGGGACGAAGCCACGATTGCTTCTTTCTGTTATGATTGCAGACTGTGCCATGGGGCTCATAGCATTCAGAGTCTTCTTCGTAATTAAAAAAGAAGTGTGACTTGTATAGAACTAGACGTTCTGTACTTTGTTTATGCATGTGGTTCATGTCAAGCGAATTGGGTGAAACATGATCATCCTAAATCATTTTGAGAATTCTAGGTGTTAAGGCTTTTACCAGTTGAGAAGCCATCTCAGGAGACATCTCCTTGGTTCCCTTACTTTGTATCTTTGCTCAACATCCACATTCAGTGGCGTTCTGGGAAGCAGAGAGATCAGATGGAGATATGGCTTCTCTTGGAAAAAGTCTGAAAAGCCAGGTGTTGGCAACAGGATGAATAACATAAATGGGTACCATTGTGTATCTTCTAGAAATGGTGGTTTTCTCATGGTGGGTGAAAACCTACTCTGGAGAATCATGCACAGTGTTAGAACTGACCTAGTCATAACCATCATATTCAGGGCATCATGGAATGTGGGCACTGGAGGAAGAATTATTGCCCTGTTTTATGTGGATTCAGTTAACTCAGATAACTTTGGCTAAAATCACCCCGTAGTTGAGGGTGTGCCAACATACGATGGAAACTTCCTATTATCCCTGCCAAAATTAAAAAATTTTGTCTTGTCTTGTTTTGTTTTGAGGGGGTAATGAGGTTTATTTATTTATTTATCTTCAATGGAAGCACTGAGGATGGAACCCAGGGCCTCGTACATGCTGAGCACTTGCGTTGCATGAAACCAAACAGGAGGATCCCAGTCAGTGCCTAGACGGAAGCTGACTGCAAGCCAAACCCTCAGGCAGCAGCTTTTAAAAAATATAAATATATATTTTATGCAAATATATGTAGAGTCCCGTGGGACCACAAGCATAAGCCCTGTTGGCCACCAGAGCCAGGCAATCTGGAGGTGTTCCCTGGGTGACAGATGCAAAAATTGGGGCTCCAGACAAGTATAAAAGGTCCTTTCAGGAAGATACAGGCAAGCTGTAGTGAGGCAGAGGGGGAGTGCAAAGATGGTGTCCCATGTGCTATGTCCCCCAAGAGCACCCCCATGGACTTGCAGAAATGTGCCAGACCAGAATCCTGCCCACTCAGGCCAAATCTTCTGAACAAAAAAATAGGCCTCTTTCTCACAAAGTCTGGAAATGAGTTTCCATCTGCTATCTGTGCAGTGCCCTGGGTAGGGTGGCAGTTGGTCAAGAACTGTGTCTCTGATTATTACATTCCCACCGGACCCAGGAGTGCAAGGCCCCGTGATCTCCAGAGCCAGGTGATCAAGGGGTACCCCCTGGGTGGCAGCCATAAAAACAGAGGCACTAAAAGTGTGTTAAATCCACACCCCATCTCCCCAGGAGTATTGGTGCTCTGGAGTGCGACAAAGAGAAATTGTAAAAATGGCGCCTGCTGGGAAAAAAGTCTAGAGTTAAAAAAAAGAGAGGTGTCCTCTGGCTTTAGCAAGGCAGAGGGCAAGTGTAAAAATAGCTCCCACCAGCCTCCATCCCTCGAGAGTGTCCCAGGGGGCCCTTGCCCCTCTGGCTGATGCTTCAAGTTTAGCAAATAAATTTCTTTTACATAAAGTCTGAGCACTTTCCAAATGGCTGTTTCTTTTCTTCTCCTTTTTAAAAAAGTTTGTCTTGCTTTGCTTTGTTCTGAGTGGGTAATTAGGTTTATTTATTTATTTATCTTTAATGGACGTACTGGGGATGGAACCCAGGACCTTGTGCGTGCTGAGCACACACTCCACTGCTGAGATGTAACCTCCCCTCCCAAATGGCTGTTTCTGAGTTGGACCCTGGAGTGGGTGAGTCTGCCATGAGCCCCTTCAGAGCTGTTTTGCAGTTTGGGTATTGTGGACATGAGTTCTGTTTTCAAAGTCAGATGTACTGGGGGCTTGTCTCTCAGGTACAGATCTTAAAAGCTGGGGTGTCCAATATGGGGTATGAACCCTTCACCCCTCAGGGAGAATCCCCAGTCTTGTGAGTTCC